GGCCCAAGGACCTGCCATTGGAAGGTGCTGCAGAAGCGGTGGAGGAAACAGGCCCCAAGCAGGAAATGTACTGAGCACAAAGCAGAGCAAGATGCCTGCAGCGTGGCGCTTGCCAGCTCCATCTTGCAAACTCCACTTTCCTAAGAAACCCTTCCTCTGGCGGGAAGGCTCTCGATGTCAGTCAGGTGCACAGAGACAGCAGAGGCGAGCCGGGCCGGGAAGCTCTGCAGCACGAAGCTCGGCATGAGGGAAGGGGTCAGACCACACAGAAACCGGGCGGCTGCTGCTCTCTGGTTTGCTTTTTGCGGGGAACACAATCTACCTGCTCCCAGGGAGTTGGAAATAGACAAAAATAATTAACATTAATTGGCTGACACCCTCCTCTGTTCAACAGAGCTCCAACTGCAATTGCTGAGAGTTGCCCCTGAACACAGCTCCATCTGAGCTCCCCAAGCGTGCCGTCTTGCTCACGGAAAACCCAAAAGTATCCTGTTTCCAACAAAAAAATTCCTTTCAGGTGAGCTGGAGCTCAGTCAACTGAGCATTGTCATAGAAAAAAAGCACCGTAGGTTTTTTTAAAGGATTAAGATATATCTGTAGTTTTGATTTTTACTCCTCAGAGTTGCAACTTTCTTTTTTTCAATAACAACCAGTCTGTTTACAAATCATGAGTCTGAGGAGCTGTCAACACTATGCTGGAAGAGTTTATGGCAGCAAATTACCTACGCTGGGCTCCTACTCTGGAGAGCCCGAGTGCACTCCATCACCACCAATCCCACCTATCTTCTGAGGATAACCCACTTCAGAGCCAAAGGGACTGCTCATTTAAGAGGACTCTTGCAGTAAACGCTCTGAAGTCAAAATTATTAAAATTTTGATCTTGACACCTATCCTAAATTAATGTGATTGTTTATCAGCATCACAGTGACCAGTTGTCATTTCATACACATTTCTTTCTGATAGGTTATTTGATCTCCTCCCCCACAGATAAAAGATATAATTTACCTATGGCAAATGGAAATATAATCTCCCTTAAACTTCAGATCCCCTTTCTAAATCCTTCTCAAACAGATTTTTCTG